CTTCTAAGATGGCTATTTTACAAGTATTTTCTCCAAATCTGTGTGTTATTTCTTTAATGTGCTGGTTGATTTTCCTATCCAGAAGATTGTGAGTTTAATAGAATCCATTTGTATATTTTTGTTTCTGTTTTCTGTGCTCCAGAGTTTTGTTCTTAAAAAAAATCTCTACCTTGAAGAATTTCACTTGTGATTTAAAAAAAAATCATTTTAATGTTTCATTTTGGTTTTCAGCTTGATCTGGAGTTGACAAAGAGGCGAGTCTCTGGGATAGCAGTTCTTGATTGTCAACTTGATCTGCAGTTAACTAAAATCCAAGTGGCTGGGCACATCTGTGAGGGGGATTTTTGGGTTTTTTGGATTGACTCATCTGAGGCGGGGAGACCCATGTTCAATCTGAGCCACACTCGTACACAGGGCATGAAGGAAGGAAGCTCTGGCTCTTTCCTGCTTGCCCTCACTCTCACGGCCAAGCCCATTCCTTCACTGGCATTGCCCTTCCTTTGCTGGGATTCTGACATATACTGAAAACCCACGGAGACATCCAGACTCCTAGATTGAATGACGATTGGATTATCGGATTTTTCACTGGGAGACAGCTGCTGTTGAAACAGTCAGACCACAGCCTGTAAGCCACTCTATTAAATCTTGTGTCTCTAGAGAAATAAGATCTATAGTCTAGATATCTCTGACCAACACTGTAAGGGTGTTTGAAGTGGGAGGAGCCACCTGAGTGTGGCACCTTCCTTGCTTTTCATCTGACTGCCTTTCTGTTGCTTTCCCATTGTTCTGACCACTTCATTTATCTTAATTGCTGCAGCAGCTGCTGCAATTCCTTACTGACTTAAGCTCTTAGCTTCTTTGGCCTTTCATCACTGATTAAAGATGAGTGGCATTCCAGGAACATTAAGATCTCAAGAGGCAGGCTGGGCTAGCTGAGGCAGGCATTCAGCATAGTACGCTGAGCAGCTACTACCATCTCAGCCTCTCTGATGGGAAGACAGCTGCTGTTGGATTCATGTCTGTGTAAGTCAATCTGATAGTGTCCTCACAAATAGATTCCATCCTTTCTGTCCCTCTAGAGCAGCAGTTCTCAACCCATGGAGCCTGACACCTTCGGTAAACCTCTAGCTCCAAAATAATATTTACAGTACGATGCGTGACAGTCGCAAAATTATGGTTATGAAGTGCCCACAACAATAATTTTTATGGTTGGGGGGGTCACCACAACAGGAGGAACTGTATTAAAGTGTCCCAGCATTAGGAAGGCTGAGGACCAATCTAGAGAATCTTAACTAATGTGCAGTTAGTTTCATAGTTTTAAAATTTACAGTCATGCTCCACCCTCAACTAATGAATAAATGTAAGAAAATAAGTCAGACAATAATTTCATGTGTGTTTGTTATGGTCAACAAGTATATGTGATGCAGAGAATTAAAGTAATGTGCCTTTATATGCTCAAGTGAGAAATCTAAGCCGGGCAATTTATGTGTTTTGCACTAGATTCTGATTGAGAAGGTCAATTGTAGAAGCCTGTTCAGAATAGGTCTGTTATCAAATGAATTAGCTTCCACTTTTCCCTCCTACTGTATAGCAATTCCTTTAAGTTTACATGTATTTTGAGATGTATGAAATACATTCTTGTCTATTCATCTCCACCTTGAACCAGGTGTCATCTCATACTTTGCCATGGATACACCCAGATACCACACTTCAACACAGTTGCCTATCTGACTAAGAGCTAGCAGCAACCTGTGTGCCTTTGATTTTGTGGTTTTAACGTCACTAACTCTCTGCCAGCCTGCTGTCAATCACTTTATTCAAATGACCTATGTTTGTAGCAGGGCTGCAATCTTCAGGGCACTTTCATTATAGAAGCACAAAGAGCTCAGCAGGAAGGAATTCAAGGTAAATGATGAGCATCCTCCCTCCTAGTGGCTAAACTCCCCCAGAGACCCTGGGTTATTTCCTCTCCAACCTGTGTTTCAGAAGCAGTGGAGTGTAGTTATCAGTCTAGAAGAAACAGAACATAGAAACAGGTTCTCGAGCCAGACTGCTTAAGTTCAAGACCTCCTGCAGGAGTCAACTGCCATGGGACATGAGGTGAATGGGAAAAAGACCTATGTCTCCCAAAATTCAAAAAAAATTGAACAAAAGAGTAAGAGAGAAACAAATACAGAATAATCCCCCTCTGCCCCAATTTATAAAATGTTGCCGCAAGCCCATGTGTCCTAACACCTGTGCTTATTTGTATGAAGTCACAGAATTTTACAGTGTATGTACCCCATTAGTGTGTGAAATCAAACTAAAAATAATCAAGAAATAACACAGGGCCAGAAATACGTCGTAAGATATACAGAAGCAAGGGCAGCACAGATCACTTCTCACAGTGCCCAAGATGTTTAAAAACTTAGCCCATCGTGACAAGCAAGAGAAGTTCCTTACTGGGGGGGAGGAGAGAAGGGGAGGGGGAGGGGGATCACTGCACCTTTCAAGTCTGCACATTTTCAGCTTACAGTCAAGGAAACCAGAGATGGGACAAGCTGCTTTCCAAGGACCAATGTATTTGCGCTCTGTAACTAACTTACCCTTAGGGGGACTGTAAGTAAGGCCACTGCTATGGGCTGATTCATTAAATCATATGAGCTAACATTTAACTTCTTCCTCTTTTGCTAAAAAAAAATCTGTGGAAATAATAGTTAAGTCATTTCATTCTTTTTTTTTTTTTTTTTTTTTTTTTGCATGGCGTGGGAGAGGGGGACAGAGTCTGTCTTATTGGGTAGCCCAGGGAAGCACTGAACTCATGGTCTCAGAATCCTAAGTGCTGGCAGGTGGGTGGGAACCACCACACCCATCTAGTAATTTATTTTAAAGGTAACAAAGTTAATCTTTGGAAAACAATCAAGTATTTTATTTAACTTACTAAACTCTGATTTCCTTGTTCACCTTCTGAAAATCATTCTTATGGCCCCTTCCGTGCTTCTCAGTTAGCTGGTTTTCAGCCCTTTTCATGTTGTAATTGTCAAAATTCTCTCAAGGCAATTTTAAGATTATCCCATCAATCTTGGTCTTTTCTTTTAATTTGTGTGGTGGAATTTACTTGCTCATTGGTGTGAGTAATTTTCAATATCTTGCCAAACAGCCTGTGGCAAGTAAAGATACAAGTTGCATATATTAGAATTTTCTGTTTGAGTGGAATAAAACAAAAACAAATTATGCTGCAAAGTGAATGTCATTGGATTGCAGACACTCATTACTAATTAAAAACTTCCTTTTTTATCTGTAATTAAGAAAACAAATTTGCCCTACATATTTGAGAGGCCCTAGAACACAATGAGTCCTGTGGCTACAATGTTCCATTTGACTTTATTGCTATTGGTGTGATTTTTTTTAACCAAAAACATGTATAAATGGTTCACATATCATTCAGCATCTCAGTCCAGAGTTTGCGGCATGTTATCTGTGGAGTATATATCTATAGATATATGGAGGCAGTACTTACAGCCCAGTCTTATTTCTTTGATGGACTCAAATCACTCTTTGAAGTTCAACTCATGAAGCAATGCTCCCTGGTTGAATAATGTCTTTCAGAAATTCTCCATGGTTCAGAACATTTAACCCATGGTGGTGGCTGCTGAGGTATGAAAGTGTATTGTCAGGCAGGGGTGCCTGATGAGTCCTGAGGAGTGCCAGCACGGCCTGGATCTCAGGGCTGGTGAAGTTCTACTGAAAGCAGCTGCCTCAGTAGAGCTCATGAACAGATGAGGACAGTTTGGGACATATTGTGTCTTCTGGTGGCAGTAACATCTGGCCCTGCTAGGAGGTACTGGGTGGGGTTCATGAAATATATTACTGTTAGCCATGTGATTCTTCTACCAGTTATAGAATACACAGAAGCCATGAAGACATCAAGGGAGGTGTAAGAGGAATAGCCTTTACAAGAGTAGACAAAACTCTGTAGCAAGTAGTCCAAGTTGAGGCTAGAGGTGTAGACCTACTTGTTCACCTCTGTGTAGCTCAAATGCTGGGGTGTTCATTGTTGTCACATCCCTGTGATGGAATTCAATCCAGCCTCAGGCCTGTTCTCAGAGTATGCTTCAGCTTACGGTGATGAAAAAGTGACTGGGATTGAAAGTCATTGGCCTTATCCAAGAAAATTCATTATATTGTTATGTACAGAAAATGATTTCCTCCATTTTGATTTGTTAACAAATTTATTTATCCGTGTGTCTGTGTGTGTGTGTGTGTGTGTGTGTGTGTGTAAGTACAGGTCCCTCAGGAGGCCTGAGCACTTGGATCCTCCGTAGCAGGAGTCACAGGTGTTTGTGAACCGTATCAGGAGGGTCCTGGGAATGGAACTTCAGTCCTCTGCAAGAGCAACAAGCGCTCTGAGCCTCAGAGTCATTTCTCCAGTCAGATTCTTACATTTCTTTAAACATATTTTATAATGGTAGTAAATTTTTACATGGTTGTAAAAATGATGATGATTATAGTAACATGTAAAGCGATTGTTACCAAAGTGTCTATTAGTCCTTGTTTCAAATAGAAAACTTGATGTGATGTAAGGTAAGTTTGTGAAAGCATACTTCTCATAAAAATGCTTTTATGTGGGATGCCGGGCAATTAATATTTAAGCATTCGAATATTTTAGTTTCACCTTTTTTTTTTAAATGATACAAAGGGAACTTAGCTGCGTTTTCAACTCATCGCCAGGGGGCCTCATCAATCTCTCCTGCCTGTCTTAAAAGCTCTGGGTAACACAAGCCACTGGAGCTTTTCAGTGATTCATACTGCAGAGCTGAGACCTGAGGCTCCCCTGCTGGACATGTAGTTGACTCCTCATTGGTACAGCCATTCCCAAATTCTAATTTAAAGACACTGCTGTAACCACGCCTGGTTAAAGACAAGTGCAATGTTTTCACTCGACTACATCAGGCTGGAAAAGTAATCCAAAAGGGGTCCATTTAGTGGAAGTTTACTGTCCTAGTCAAAAGTTTCCCAGATAGCGTCTAGTATGAAGAGTTCAGAAACTTCCCTTTTGCGGAGTCTGCAGCAGGTCAAGGGTTGCTCTGGAGGACCGCCCATTCCAGACCCAATCCTCCCGGTGCAGGCTGACTCCAGGTCTCTGGGATTTTCTGGGGGTAGCCTTCCAGCCTCCCTGCAAGGCCAGTTGCTGTAAACTGAACTCAGGCCAGCTCCTGGAGACTTCACAGAAGGCCAAGGCGTTCCAGGACACACAGAGGCTGTGGCCAACTGCCCATGGGGGCCGGCATTGCTCCCTACTCTCAGTTGCCCTTCAGGTTCTGCGCCCTGGGGGCCTGACAGCGGCAGAATCCAGCGGGCACCTGGTGAGGTGGCCCAGGAGCGGGTGCCCCTCCCGCAGCCTCCTCCAGGATGTTGATCTCCGCCTCAGCTTGGACTCTTTTTCTTTCACTTTTCTTTTAGCTGGTGTTGGGACTCCCGAGCTGGAAAGCACACAGGGAAACCGGGGAAACCCCAGCTGATTCGCCCCTCTTACCTCGATTGCTCACACTGGCTGCCACTTCGCACCCTGCAGCCAGAACTCGATGGAGGTACAGATTAGGAGGTGGTGGTGGATCAACAATGGAATTTTTCCCGAAAGCCTACGCCCGGGGCCCCTCCCAGCTCTGGCTCTGCTCAGGCACCCTTCTCCCCACCAGCTGTGGGCCAAACCGCCCCGCCCTCTTGACCGAGGCTTCAGTACTCAGTGGCACTGTATGCAGAGTGTTTTCCTTCTGTCCAGCGGTTCTTCTCCGGGGTTCTCCTCTACATCCTCCCCGGTCCTCTTGCGAGCCTCTCCAGCTCGCTGAGCCCCGCAGTTTGAGGTGCACTTCGCTCCGCGCTGCAGGGACCTGGCCAGGGCAGGCCCACGGGGAGCAACGCGTCTGTCTGCCCCCGCCCAGCTGGAGAGTTGGACGAAGACTGGATCCTGAAGCTTGGAAGGCTGAGTTCTCCGTCTAACTGAGCTCAGAGAGGTCAGGAAAGGTACCAGCGCTTCTCTCCTTGCCACATTCCCTTTCCAAACTTCCGCCGGCCCTCGTGAATGGATGCGTGTTTGGACTCTCTCTCCCCCTTTGCAAATATCACCTCTTCCTTGATGAAGATGCGTCTTCTAGGGAAAGAAATGTGCAGAGATGGTCATAGACCTGGGTCTGTGCTAGCGAACAACTTAACTCGAATCACCTGAAGCTTAGTTGTCTGTCTGTAATGCCAGATGGAAGGGAAGCGATGCTGGAAAATTGTCCTGAAATCAAATCCGTACTCACGGGGGTTTTAGATGAAAACCCGGCTAACTTTTTCAAGTGGTGTTGAGACTGCAAGAATGCAAAGCTCAGAAGAATGTCTCTAGCTCCTGCATTTAAGGTTACGCAGTGTAAACACTGCAAACCATGCAGGTCCCTGAGTCTTAGCAGAGTCAGAGTGGAAATGGAAACAAAGTGACTGTAACTGTTTTCCAAGGATGATTTTAAATTGATTTCTGATACTCTCACTATTGGCAGGTCTCTTCCAGTGACTATCATTCACCCTTTTGCTTTAACAGGGGAGGGAGGTCAGATTGAACTGGCTGGGTTCTCCAAGTTGATTTGGTAAATCATCAGATTAGTAAGATTAGCCATCTTTCTGTGTGGAGGCTGCAAGTTAGATCCTCATGAACACTGAATAATTTAGAGGATTACCGAGGAAACCTGGCGGGGGGGGGGCGACGGGGGGGGGAGGCTTTGTAAGAAAGTAAGCTACTCCAGAAGGAACGTCAATAGAAGTAAAGGACAAGAGACCCGGCGATAGTCATTTGAGGCTTTTAGGGTGAAAAAATAATAAAGCTAGGAGTTTTACTTAAAACGTCAAAGCATCAGAAAGTGCTTCAGGCATGTTTTAAGTGTGTCTGCATGCCCTGATGCTATGCTTCTCTTTTCTCCTCTGGGAATTTGCAGTCTGACTCGCATGGGTCCCCTTGCCTTGTGATCTGTTTAGAAGCATGATAGTGGGTAGGTTTGCCCCAGCTGTGGTCTCTGACAAGCTTTGCACAGGTTGGATATTATTGCTGGGGGTAGCTTTACAGTGTGGTGGGAAAACAGCTTCTGGTTGGAATTTTCCAATAGATTGCTGGTGGGTTTAAGGAAAAATACTATGCTACCTTCTTATTTAAATCTTGTTCCAATTATAGGAAATGTCAGTAACTGTATTGCATGCTATAAAATTTGTCAGTGGCACAAAATTTTACAAACTAATTTTAAAGTTAAAAAATGACTTAAGATTATTGAAACAGAATTTGGAGACTAAAGAATTTTGACCTTGGTAAAGACTCCAGCCAAGGTGTGCTGCTCTTTGGGAATTTCAGGAGAATTGAAAAAAGAACTCTACAGAAATTTGTAGATTTTCATGAGGGAAATGTTTGCAGGCTAATCAGCTCTATAAACGGGTGTCCTATACAAGCCTTTTGAAACTTTGTAGACTTTAGACCTCTGTCTGGTTTCTTCTGGATGTCTCTGCTTTCATTTTTTGTGTAACTATTCTTCTGAACACTAGTTGATGACAACACAGGAGACACTGTCTTCAGTTCATAACCCAAATTTCCCATAGGAACACAAGTAACGGCCAACAGTTTAAATTCTAAGCTCCAAATATTGTCCTAAGTATACACATGTTTAGAAAGTGTCATAATTGGACATATGTAGCACCCAGTAAATATAAATAATAGTACATAGAGTAATCAGTATGTAAACTAACTCAATAACTTATGCAAAGAAACAGGGCTTGGGAGGGCTGACCTCTTCCAACCCAGACAGACCTCAGATTGCAATGCTGATAAAGAATGAATTATTCCCATTGAATTATTTTCCACAGTTTTACAGTGACAATTACTATTTCATTTGGGCCAATGTTGTGATGATAGACTTTTAGTTTCAAATTACTTCTGTAGCTGACATTATTAATTGTATATTTAAAGATTATAGTCACATAATTAATTTCCTTAGAGAAATTTAAGGTTCCTGAATGAAAATGTCTGCCCTAATGTATGTATATATATATACATATATATATATGTTTTGTGATAATAACTCATAATGAACAAATCTGGATTGATTTCTATATCTGAATCCCTCCACTTGTCATTCCATCCATCCAAGTAGGAAGGTAGGACTCAAAGAGAGAATAGAGAAGAAGTTTCTCCCATTACATCAAGGCTGAGGATGCGATGGCTGATCTTTGCGATGGCTTCTTTAGAAGGCCTAATGTGGTAGGCTTGGCAAGGAACCATGTTCCCTCTCTTGCCTCAATATTAGCTCTTACATGCCTCTGTTCAGTGGTTCTGGCAACAGCAAGAGATGGCTACAACTCAACATTTCATGTGGCTAGTGATACCTTTGCTTGATGGGAAAAAATTCTCTAGAGGTGTTGAGACAAAACTAGTGGGAGAACTGGAATACAATTAAATGATAATTGTTCTGTTTTGTGTTTCAGCTAGCTAATGTCCAAATGACATACGCATGTGTATATGCATTTATTTACATATCTTATAGGTTTGTGTGTGTGTGTGTGTGTGTGTGTATGTGTGTGTGTGTGTAGGGCTATTTTAAACTGTATTTGGATTTTATTGAATAGAAAAGCAAGGTTAGCCTGACTTGAGATACTGAAGTAAAAATTGTTTAACAACGTTTTCAGAAGGAATCAAATGTGAACCTGAAAGTAACTAACCAGAAGGCTTTGGTGCCTCCCGCACCATGTTGGCGGGTCATAGGCACAGCCCCATTGAATTCTAATGCATTCCGTGTTTATTCCTACTGTATGAAAAAGGGAAAGAGTGGTGCTGCACCCTTCCATGTGGAGTAGGATCCAGCTAGGGAGACATTGTCCATGTGGAGTAGAGTCCAGCTAGGGAGACGTTGTCCATGTGAGTAGGGTCCAGCTAGGGAGACATTGTCCATGTGGAGTAGGGTCCAGCTAGGGAGACATTGTCCATGTGGGGTACAGTCCAGCTAGGGAGACGTTGTCCATGTGAGTAGGGTCCAGCTAGGGAGACATTGTCCATGTGGAGTAGAGTCCAGCTAGGGAGACGTTGTCCATGTGAGTAGGGTCCAGCTAGGGAGACATTGTCCATGTGGAGTAGGATCCAGCTAGGGAGACATTGTCCATGTGGAGTAGAGTCCAGCTAGGGAGACATTGTCCATGTGGGGTACAGTCCAGCTAGGGAGACATTGTCCATGTGAGTAGGATCCAGGTAGGGAGACATTGTCCATGTGGGTAGGGTCCAGCTAGGGAGACATTGTCCATGTGGGTAGGGTCCAGCTAGGGAGACACTGTCCATGTGGAGTAGGATCCAGGTAGGGAGACATTGTCCATGTGAGTAGGATCCAGCTAGGGAGACATTATCCATGTGGAGTAGGGTCCAGCTAGGGAGACATTGTCCATGTGGGGTACAGTCCAGCTAGGGAGACATTGTCCATGTGGGTAGGATCCAGCTAGGGAGACATTGTCCATGTGGAGTAGAGTCCAGCTAGGAAGACACTGTCCATGTGGAGTTGGATCCAGCTAGGGAGACATTGTCCATGTGGAGTAGGACCCAGCTAGGGAGACATTGTCCATGTGGAGTAGGACCCAGCTAGGGAGACATTGTCCATGTGGAGTAGAGTCCAGCTAGGGAGACATTGTCCATGTGAGTAGGATCCAGGTAGGGAGACATTGTCCATGTGGAGTAGGGTCCAGCTAGGGAGACATTGTCCATGTGGGGTACAGTCCAGCTAGGGAGACATTGTCCATGTGGAGTAGGGTCCAGCTAGGGAGACATTGTCCATGTGGAGTAGGGTCCAGCTAGAGAGATGTTGACCATGTAGAGCAGGGTCCAGCTAAGGAGACATTGACCATGTGGAGTAGGGTCCAGCTAGGGAAACGTTGGCCATGTGGAGTAGGGTCCAGCTAGGGAGACATTGTCCATGTGAGTAGGGTCCAGCTAGGGAGACGTTGACCATGTAGAGCAGGGTCCAGCTAAGGAGACATTGACCATGTGGAGTAGGGTCCAGCTAGGGAGACATTGACCATGTGGAGTAGGGTCCAGCTAGGGAGACATTGGCCTACTTAGGATCCAGCTGAGGTTAAGACTGACTCTATCAATGCTGTGTTTTGTGGGTTTCATACACTTTATGTTCAGTGCAATGAGAAATAAAAACACAAGTCTGTGCCAGGAAGCTGGCATTGGCCATCATCATTTGAGTAATGATTTTGCTTTATATTAAACAATGCTATCTTTCTAAAGTGTTCCTTCAGGCCAGCAAAGTGACTTGTGGAGTCAAGAAGCTGGCCACATAAGCCTGAGACTTGAGTTCAAACCATGGAGCCCATGTAAATGTTGAAAGAGAACCCAATCCATGAAGTTGCCCTCTGACCTCACACATGTGCCTCCTACTCCATTGTGCATACATACACAAGGATACTAAAAGTTAATTGAGTGAAAGGTATCCAGTGCTGGGGTCAGATTAGAGAAGTGAGGGTATTTAGTTATTTCTATTGTCCATGTCTATACACATTTTCCTGGAGCTAGAGTGCTTGTGTGCAT